CGCTGCCAGAGCTGCTGGCCGCTGCTGGGGCCTCGCCTGCAGGCTCCGCTTCCATGCCGAGCCATTCCAGGTAGCGCTCCTGGGCGTGCTCTGGCACCGGCCCTTGCGAGCGCAAGGCAGGGATGCCCTCTCCCTCTACTCTTTGCTTGTCCGCTCGCGGCCTGCCACCAGGAATGGAGCCCTCGCTCCAATAGGCTGCGCTGATTCCTGCCTGACTTGTTGGTCAGGTAGCTGGGCCCTGGGCACTGCGCCTTCAGGCGTGACTTGCCTCCCGCGTGGCTGCCCAGCACATTGTAGGCGCCGCGCTTGGAGCAGGCCGCGATTTTCTGGGTGTCCTCGCCTTCGCACGCGCAGGCGTAGCTGAGCACGTGCCCCAGGATGCTGAAGGCGACAGCGGTAGCCGAGAGGGCTGCCGCGCTGCTCCCCGTCGAGCGGCTGCTCTCCAGGCGTGGCCGCTTGGCAGGGGCGCCGCCGCCGAGGGCCTCTCCAGCCAGAGGGGGCTCCGCAGCCGCAGCGGCCAGCACCTGGCGGCGCTCGCCAGCAGGATGGGGGCCCTTCGCTATTCTTGGCCGAGCCGTCGAGGTACAGCTTGCCGTTGAGCCTGCCGTCGACTGGCTGCCGAAGCCTCCATGCCCTCATCGTCCAACGAGCGTTGGAGTTGTAGGCACCTCGCGCGTGCTGCCCCTTCACGTGCAGCTCGACTCCTGGCCCGAGCAGTTGTCCGATGGCGTCCCCGAACAATGGCCGCATCAAGAAGGGGTCGCAGCTGAGCTTCAGCCTCTCGTGGCCGTTGGAGGCCTGCAGGGCTACCGAGCTTGCCTCAAAGCTCATCGCCCGAGGCCCGAGAAACATTGGGCCGAACGCGTCGTCGAGGTCCACGACCATGCACCGCTCCGGCTCGAGGTGTCAGCCGCGCCGCTCCAGGGGCCGCGCCACCGCGTTGGCTGGCGAGGCACAGCGCACCGCTGTGGCGGCCCTGGCGTGCCTGGCTGCTGCCGCCTCCAGCCTCCGAGCGCGTACCCTGAGTGGCAGCGCGGCTGGCAGCTGCAGGTCCGCTCTCATGGCCATCGCCTTGGGATGCCCAGGTGCGCCTGCCTGGCCAATGGGGTCGCTCCGCTCGAATGTGCCGGCGGGTCACTGACGTCGATGCCGTGGGACCCCACCAGGGCGTCCTCGACGTGGCCGCACTCGTGCTGGTGCAGGCCCGCCGCCCTGATCTGACTATGCACTCGTTGGCCCTGGCAGTGCTCCTCCAACGCGGCACCCAGTGGCGCGGCCAGCATGGCGAGCAGCCAGAGGAGCCAGGTCCGCTGCCTCTGCAGCCAGCTCCCGCTTGCATGCCTGGGCCACCGTCGGCCACTCGCCATGCGCCTTGCCACGCCGCTCGGCTTGACCTCGCTCTGCTGCTGGCCGTGGCTGCCAGGAGCTACCGCTACCTGCGAGATCGCCCTCGTCGCTGCTGATCTCCTCCATGGGGCAGGACTCAGCCCACGGCGCACGCTCGGGGGCCACAGGGGCCCCCGCGAGCTGCGCCCGCACAGCCTCCATCTGGGCGTGGATGGCTGCCCGGGCCACCTCGAAGTTGCTGGAGCCCCAGGCCTCGGGCAACTTCTCCAGCTGCATGAAGGGGCCCTGGCACCTGGCTGGCTCCTGCCCGCTCGGCAGCGCGCTGGCGGCGCAGCGCCTCGGCCTCCTCGCGGGCTTCCTCCTCGAGCACCTGGAGCGCACGGCTCGCCTCCTCAACCTCCGCGTCGAGCTCCGCAAGCTCCTCCTGGGCCTTCTGGAGCTGGGCCTCGACGAGGCCACGCGCCGCCTGCTTCTGCTCGAGCTCCTGGCGGGCTGCGCGGAGCCGCTTCTCACCCTTGCTGATGGCGTTCGGCTCCCTGTGGAGCTGCGCTGCCCGTGGCAGGGAGGAGGCCTTCTGCTCTGCTGCCGCCTTCTGGGCCCTGACCAGCTCGGCGCGCTTCGCCTCCAGCTGGCTGGCCACGACGTCGGTGAAGCAGCCGTCCACGCCGTCAGGCGGCTTGGCCTGCAGCGCCTCGAGCTGATCGACGGCCGCCTGGAGCCTCTCGATCGCCGTGGCGCCTCCAGCGCTGGGCGTCCCACTCGCTGCCGACGCCGAGGTCTGCGACTTGGCGGAGGCTCCCCGCGAGGCCGCACTGCGGGCCTGCCTCTGGGCACGGCGCCCACGTGGCTGCTCCACCCATCCGTCCTTCTCTGCCTTGGGCCTCGCATTGGCGGGGGACACTCCCAGCGCCCAGGGCGGAGCCGCATACCCACAGCCAAAGCACGAGGCGCGCCAGTCCCAGTTCCATCCTCCGCAGCTGCACATCCAGTAGGACTTGCCGCGCCTGCAGCTGCCGCCGCCGCGTGGGGAACTCGCCATGGCCACTGCAGAGCTGGCCGAAGGGCCGCGCCTTCGCGCCGCGAAAGCAGGAAGCACAAACTCGAAGTGCACTGGCCCAAAGCGCGGAGACCCTCGCGCTCAGAGCGCCGCGACCGACTCGCAGTCGTCGGGTTCTCCATGGCCTTGAGCCAAAATTGCTACGGACTCTCCTGTGTGTGTTCTGCCGTGTTCCTGTGTCCTCTGCAGTGCTCCTATGTATTCTGTGTTCTGCCGTGTTCCTCGTGCTCCTGCGTGTTCTGCCGTGCTTCTGTGTGTTCTGCCGTGCTCCTGTTTGTTCTTCCGCGCTCCCGTACGTTCTTTGGGTTCTGGCGTGCTCCTGTGTGTTCTGCCGTGCTCTCGCGCGTTCAGCCGTGCTTCTGCGTGTTAGGCTGCCGTGATTCTGCCCTTTGTGTGAAGATGTCTCCGGCGAAGGGCTAAAGTTTAACATGCGGTTTTCATTTTCTGGTGGATGTCTCAGGCGAAATGCTTGTTTTCGTGAAAGCCCGTGTTGCGAACAACTCGTGCTTTCAAGATGTATCGACAAAATCCGCAGTTTGAGGAATCTCGAGGGCGCTCTTGGGGTTATGTTTGGGTTCGTTTTGGGCTCGTTCGGGGCCGCTTGGACCCCGTAGAAAAAATGCCAATGCGAATGTTCACGCATCCGTTTTTGAGGATGTGCCGAACGAAATCGTAATTTTTAGAAGCCTGGCTTGGGCCGTCTGGAAGCCTTTTCAAGAGCGATCTCAAGACTATGCTTTGAACAGCAAGTTTCAGAACGATGCTGTCGTATTTGTTTGAATGTTTCGAGGGTGCCCCTCGCAACATCGTCATTTTCGGCCGTCATCAGCGCGCTCTTAGAGCCAGATTGAAGTCCTTTTTGGGCTCTCTTTATCTTGAAGCACCTCAAGAACGATGTCAAGACGATGTTGAGAACATCTCATGCTTTGAAGATGTCCCAAAGCGAAATGCAAATGTTCTGCCGTGCTCCTGTTTGGGGTCTGTCGTGCTGCCGCTCGGTTTCTGAAGACGTCCTTAGCGAAAACGTAGTTTTCAACAGAAGAGGTAGTAATACACCTCCGTTGACACCTCATTTTGCTTAGACTGTTTCAAGCGGAATGCACGTTTTTACAGTTGAAAGAATTTCGCAGCAATCAGCTGTTGGAGGATGTCTCGGGCGAGACGCTTGCTTCTATTAAACGCGATGTCGCGGAGATGCCGTTTTTGTGAGGACGTCTCGTGCGGAATCGCCATTTGGAGGCACCTGACCGGACGAGAACGGGAAGCGCCGCTTTTGTCCACTAGGCGTGTGATGTATGCTCCTTTGTTGGTCTGCCGCGCAGATCTGTCGTGGCGTGCGTGGGTTTGCGCGTGCGCGTGCGTGCGTGGAATCTGTGCATGTGTGTCCGTGCGTGGTGGTCTGCGGCACTGCATTTGGCGAGAATGTCTCGAGCGAAACGCTCGTTTGTCTAAACTTCTCTTGACATGAATGAGAAGCGCGTGAAATCAAAGAGCCTGGCCAGAACGTGCACCAACACCAAGTTGACGGCGTCAGACGGGCTAGAAATGCCCTAAGACGGCCAAAGAGGCCCCCGAGAAGCCCCCCCAAAGGCCCCCAAGAGGCCCAAGGAGGCCAACAAGGTGCCTCCAAAAGGCTCCCAGGAAGCTCCAAGGAGGTCCCAAGAATGCCCCCCAGAGGCTCCCAAGATGCCCCCTCCGCCTCCTCCTCCTCCTCCTCCTCCTCCTCCTCCTCCTTCTGATCTTCCCCGCCATCCTCCCCGAAGTGTTCCCCGAAGGCTTTCTACAACGGCTGGGTGAACACATGGCCCGATAGCTTCGCAGAGCTCTTGCCACAACGCTCGGCCACATGGGCGATTCCAGAAGGCAGGGGGCGGCGGTGATTCGCCGTCGGCGTCTTCGATAACGCCAACGTCTCAAAATGCGCTGTTAATTCCAATCCGCCCCCGCATGATGTTCCCAGATGCGCCAGGGCAGCGCCAAGACTCACCGACGCGACTCTGATATATCCCATTATGATGGAGAGGGGGCTGGCGGCAGGGGGCGAAGCCCTTACGGATATTCGGTCGCATACGTACAGGTCGCAAACAACAGCGAGCCTCCTTCCCAGCTGAACGAGACCTGGTGGTGGTCGCTGTGACCGCAGCGATAGGTGGCGACATCTGACTCCCACCCCCACCACCCACCGATCCTCCAGGATCGATGGGAGGCGGAGGTATGGCTCGGATTTCGCCACGCGTTCGAATTCCGAACCCCACCCCTGCCGCTCATCGAGTTGCCACAATCGTGAATCGGCGAGGGTAGGGTTCGGACTTCGCCGCCGAATCGAGCCCGTGCCCGGCAGAAGCAGGAAGAGGAGCAGCGAGAAATGCGGAACTAAGATTCGGCGGCCAGCCTTGGGGGGGAAGTGAGAGGGGGCAGGCCTTCTCAGAAGTTTCGGAAGTCCCACGATCTTCTGGGACAGGTTCTAAGACTTCCCCGAAGACACAGATAACTTCTCAGAAGGCCATTGGGCTTCTGAGAAGCGCCGCCGCCTTCTGAGAAGGCCTCCTCCTTCTCCCCCCTTGCTCGCCACCGAAAAATTGTAAGGCGAGCCGACCGTGAACAGGTGGCCCAGGGCGACGGTGGCTGCGAGCATCAAGCGGTTCGGGCGCTTGAGCCTTGGCTTGCCCAATATGCTTGGGCATCTGGTCGCCCAGCCTCTTCCTCCTTCTCCTCTGCCTCCTCCTCCGCCTCCGCTTCCTCCTCATCCTTCTCCCCCCTTCCCTACACTTGCTAAGCATGGCGACTACTCACCTCTCCCGCATGCCGTTCTTTCACATGCGATCTCAATCGCTGGTTGTTTCATGTGGCTTCTATTCCATCGATCACTCTTGTTGGCTGGCTTTATGGTGCTCCTAGAAGGAGGAGGAGGAGGAGGAGGAGGAGGAGGAGGAGGAGGAGGAGGAGGAGGAGGAGGAGGAGGAGGGGAGAGGAGGAAGAGGAGGTTCAAAATGGCGCTCTCGCCCGAGCGCGGGCCACATGTCTGGATCCGATTCCTCTCTCGTCGCTGTCGCCTCCTCCCTGCCCCCCCTCCGCCCTGCCCTTGTCCTCTTGCTCCTCCTGCTCCTGCCGATGCTGCTGCTGCTCCTCCTCCGCGTCCTCCGCCCTGCTCCTCCTCCGCTTGCTCCTGCTCCTCACCGCTCATCCTCCCGCTCACCCGCCTCCTCCTCCTCCTCCTCCTCCTCCTCCTCCTCCTCCTCCTCCTCCCGCGTCCACGGCTCGCCCCTCTGATTGCGCATCGCGCGATTGGGTCATTTGGGTGATCCAGGCCCGCCAGGACACCCGTCAGCGGATAGAAAAACATCAATGCAGGGGGAAGGGATGCGCGGAGGGGACTGGAGTCAGGTATGACGCGCGCAGGCGCCTATCTCTCCCCCCCCCACCCTGTGTCCTTTATCCTCTCTGCTCTCCCATATCTTCATTGCCACTGATCCCCCCTGTTACCCCTCTGTCTCCTCTGCCTGCCTCCTCCTTCAACCTTTTCCCCGTCCCGTCCTGAAGGCAGAATCACCAACCTCACAGTAAGCACCCCAGCGAGAGAAGCCCGCTAGCAAACTCACCACATGAAAGAATCGAACGGAGCAGGGCTGTCCCGTGAACGCCCAGGACTGTTCAGTCAGCGCCAGTTGACACTTGTAGGGAGGCGAATTTTTCCTTTGACTCTTGGATACCGACCCCCTCCTCAGATCTCCGACGCCGTGCTTTTCCCCAATCAGTACTTGCACAAAGGGGCCCTGGTCTAGCTGCAATTCACGTAGCACGGTGCTTGTTCCCCTGGTTCTCGCCCAACGCCCGCCCGTGGGCATCTCGTGGGCGCTTTGTGCGCTGGGTGGGTTCGCCGGGTTTTCGACCAATGCCTCCTGTGAGCGCCTCGTGCCCGCCTCGCGCGCCGGCGGGCGCTTCAGGACCACATAGACGGCGCCGCAGAGATTGAACCCACTAAGGTGCACAGCATCGAGTGCACCGAATACCTTGCACCACGTGCGCTCCAAAGATTCGACCACCCTCCCGAGGTCGGACTTCTCCACTCCACTTGGGGCAGTGAGAATTACATACGAACTTGCCTCGTTGACTATTTTGAATATGATTTCGTATCTTCCTACTACGCACCCGTCCATCAACAAATCGACTTGTCCAAGAATCTCTTGCAACATGTAGAAGAACGTCCACACGTGCGCGTCGTCTCGCGCGCAAGTCGCAATCCTTTCAAAACCCGTGGCGTCGTCAGGAATTAGCTATCGAGGTGCTCGACAACCTATGGAATTCAAATGCTTTTTCCCAAGCCAATTTTCAACACAAATCTGTGCGTGTTTGACTTGTTCTTTTCTACATCCTTTCAAATATGACTACGCGGACCCCTCGTGCGCGCGAATCGAAATCATTCGAACGCCCCAGCGCGCTTGCTGTGTGTTGCATAAACCCTGTCGAAATAATACCATGCGGGCCACCCGCGCGCGTCGGCCATCGCGCATGTCGACAACTCCTAAAACACATCATCCGCGACACATGGACATCATCAACACCACCATCAACAGCATCCTCGTCATCATCATCATCATCATCATCATCATCATCATCATCATCATCATCATCATCATCATCATCATCATCATCATCATCACCGTCATCATCACCATCATCATCACCATTGCCACTCGCATTACCAACATCGGCGCCGACATGGGCCTGGCCGTCGTCATCGTCATCATCGTCACCACCACATCTACCATTACGATCGTTGCCGCTGCTGTCGGCGTCATCATCATACCGTGCCGCCCGAGCCACCGATCCGCACTGAAGCGCCCGCGAGCCAGCGCGGACTTCGACGCGCGTTGGGACGTTGCCACGGGTAAGCGCCATCGCGACCGCGTCGGCTGCGCCAAACCAGCTGGCCGCTCTGAGCACGACACTGCGCGCTCCAGCGCGGCCGCTGAGATGCGCCAGCCATGGCCAAAAAGTCATCGCAATCGCCGTCGCATGCGTTTTGCAAACCAGGTTGCAGGTGGGAGGGTGGGGTGGTTGCGCGAGCTCTTGGGCTGTCGACTCCTCCAACTTCTTCAGAAGTGCTTGCGCTGCGCAGATTGACCACCGCAGCTTGCACCAACCAGCGCGCACCCCTCTTTTTTTTTTTCCTCCCAACAAGGAAACAATCCCTCCCGAACCCAGAATTATCGACCCCCCCTTTGGGGCAACGCATCATATATATATATATATATGTATGTATGTATATATCTATATATATGTACATAGGTGTGTATGTACAGATCTGTGTGCTTCTGCCTGGCCGTTCATTCTCGATGTGAACCCGGGCCATCCCAGACCGACCAGTATCGCCCCCCCCTTCGCCCCTGTCAGGTACTTAATACTATGGGCGCGCAGTCGTCAATCGCAAACAATTTGTTCAAGTGCCCGTTTGCAAACCATGGCGCACAAGCCATGCGCGCACACACGCTAAAAGCAAACAGCACAGACCAACACTGCAAGCATTCCCACATGAACACACCAGAACGCTCTAGGCTTGTTCATCGCACACCCTGGTGGCTTCTGCCCGCGCGCACTTGCTGACATAGTACGGAAACCGGATGGTTCTACCAACCTGGCCAAACACCGCATCACCACCCCACCACGCGTTGCACCCGCGTTGATCCAGCGTGGGCTCATCGCACGACTCCGCATCCCATCAAACATTGCGGGCCACAGGCGCGCGCCGCCACGTGCGCGTGCCTCCAACACCGTTGGCTCCGGGAGCACTTGGAACTGTATCTTTCCAAGCACGAATCGAGCACCGACGGTGTTGCAGCAGTAGGTCTGCCAGGTTTCTGGCATCCCCTCGCGCGCGCACCTCCTCACCACTACCCTCGTCAGCTCCGCCATTGCCACCAGCACCACTCAAACACCTTCATCGCCAACACCTGGACAGCATCACCGCCGTCGTCGCCAGTAACGTCGTCGTCGTGCCGCCGTCGTCGCCATCTGATTCGCGTCGTCGCCGTGCCGTCGTCATCGTCATCATCGTCACCACTATTGCTATCACCATCAGTGCCGCTGTTGTCGCGTCGTCATCATACCGAGCCCGCCCGAGCCACCGACCCGCATTGAAGTGCCCGCAAGCCAGCGAAGCCTTTGAACCGCGCGCAGGGATGACGCCATGGGTCAGCGCCATCGCGGCTTCATCGGCTGCGCCAAACCAGCTGGCCCCTCTGCGTGCGAGTCTGCGCGCGCGCGGCCTCGGAGATGTGCCAGCCATGGCCAAGCAGTCATCGCAATCGCCGCCGCATGGGTTTTGCAAGCCAAGTTGCGGGTGGGAGCGTGGGGCGATTGCGCGAGCACTGAGGTTCTCAACTCCACTTTTTTCAAAATTGCACCGCGTAGATTGAACGCCGCAGCTTTCACCACAAAGCGCGCACCATGTTAATTCCCTCTCCAACCAGAAGTAAAGGCCTCGCCCCGAGCCCACCCCCACCCTTGGTAAACCGCATTATATACACATGTATAGGTATAACTGCATATTTTTATATATATATACATATGTATATATGATTCCGCCTCGCCGCTCATTTCCCACATGAATTCAGACCATCCCAGGCCGACCAATACCGCCTTCCCCCTCGCGCCAATCAAATCGTACTTTGTATTACGCGTGCCCTCTTTTGCCCAGACGGTTGTTTTCTCAGGAGCCTTTTGCAATCCATGGCACGCCGAAGTCCACACGCGCCCGCACATGCCGAACTGTTCATCACATATACTGCCGACTTCAGCCCGCGCGCACTTGCTCATATCTCGGGCAACTATATGCTTCGAGCAATCTGGTCCAAAACTCCTAAACACACCTTCTGATCTCACTACGAGATGCACCCGCGTTGATCCAGCATGGGCTCATCGCACGAACCCGTATCCAATCACACACTGCGGGCCACACGCGCGCGCCGCCACGCGCGCGTGCCGAAATCCTTCCAACACAATTGGTGTTCGAAGCATCTGCAGACATAGCTCTTCAAACACAGATCGAACACCAATTGTTTTTCAATGTGAGGTCGGCTTGGTGTGTGGCATCCCCTCGCGCGCGCACCTCCCCACCAGCACCCTCATCTGCGCCGTCATTGCCGCCAGCATCGCTCAAGCACTTCCATCACCTGCTCGTGTCAGCGCCGTCGTCGCCAGCATCGGCGCAGCCGTTAGCCGTGCTGTCGTCGTCGCCACCATCGCCACCACCATCGCTCCTACAACTCTCGTTGCTGTCGTTGTCGACGTGATCACGCTACTGCACCTGCTCGAGCCACCGACCCGCATTGAAGTGCCCGCGCGCCATCGCGGCCTGTGAAGCGCGCTGGGACGTTGCCATCGGCAAGGGCCATCGCGCCACATCGGTTGCGCTAAACCATCTGGCCCTTCTACGCGCGAGTCTGCGCGCGCTGGCGCGGCCGCGGAGACGCGCCAGCCATGGCCAAGCAATCATCGCAATCGCCGCCGCATGGGTTTTGCAAACCAAGTTGTGGGAGGCTTGGGTGATTGCGAGAGCAGTGGAGTTGACAACTCATTCGTGCACAGTAAATAACCTGCACCACAACAATCATACATATATATACATATATATACATATGTGTATATATATATGTGTATACTAAAACCATCGCGCGCGCTCAAGATCTAGCTAGGCTCGACAGGCTAACGCATGGAATCTCAATTGTTGAAACACCTTGGGTATCTAACGACCTTCTTGGAGTCCCTGCGCAATTCTCGGAAGCGTATAGAAGGGGAAATGCGGAAACCACAAATTCATAATTTTCCTTTAGGTGTTCGCTGATTTGGGGCCCTCGAAGGCTTCCTGGGATTTTTCTTCGGTGGTGACGGGGTCCTTAATTATGGTCTGTTGTGCAAAGACAAACAGGGGATAACTTTAAAAAAAACAAGGCAATTCTTGGAGTTCCCTTTCTTCTCTCAAATTGCCATGCCTGGGCCGTGGATCAGAAGTTTCCTGGATACAGGCCGTGGACTGTTGAGTCGCCTCTGGGGCCTTTTGGCGGCGTCTTGGGAGTCTTTCGGGGCTTCTTGGGAAGCTCTTGGTGCCTCCTGAGAACCTCTGGGGAGTCTCTGAAGGCATCTGGGGGGCGCCTCGATTGCGAGAACCTTGGAGCCATGTTGAGGCAAAGCGCGAACCTTTCCCGGAAGTCTTCCAGGAGTCTCCGCAGGCATCTGGGGGGTGCCTCGAGAAACTCTGGGAGAACCTTGGGGCCACCTTGGGGCAAAGCGCTCGAATGGCTTTGGGAGGTCCCCTCCTTTGGCTCTGGGATCTCGATTTTGTACGGTGGTTTCAGGGGCAGCCAAGGGGACACGAAGACGACCCATGCCAAGACAGCGTCACAGAGCTCAACAACATTCCCGAAGAATCGTTGCAATGTGACCCCAAAGCCTTGATGGGGCTCGGGCTCTTGATGGCGCTTGATGAGTTGCAAAAAGAAAATCACTGGGTTTACTTTTTTTCAAGTGGTGTCTCCTGACATGTAGTGCGCAGGAACTGGGGGGGGCCTAAGAGGAGTGCAAGGAACTCTTGGGGGGCAGATTGGAAGCCGCTGGGGGGCTGTTGGGCTGTTTTGGGGCCTCTTGGGGCCACTTTTGGGCCTCTTCAAACTCTTTGGGACTCTTGGGGCCTCCTGGGGGCCTCTTGGAGCGGAAAGCCGGGACTGTCGATTTGCATTCCCCCTGATATGCGGCTTTTTGGGCCATCTTGGGGCTTTCTTGGGTTGCCTCGGGGTGCTCTTGGGCCGTCTTGGGGCCCTCTTGGCCTGCCTTGGAGCCGTCTTGGGGGCTTTGGGGCGGCCTTGGGGCGGTCTTGGGAGCCTTTTTCGGCCGTCTTGGAGAGTTGGAAGCTCGAAAACCCGCGTTGGAAGCTCGAAAACGCGAGAAGGCTAAAAACCGAAACAAAACAATGAAAATCAATGATTTTGGCCTCTTCGGGCGCTCCTGGGACGCCTCTCGAAGCTCTCTTGGGCCCTCTTGGAAGCCTCATGGGAGCCTGGAGAGCCGTCGGAGGTCTGTCTTGGGCTGCTTGGAAGCGTCTTGGGCCGTCCTTTCGTGTTCTGGGGGATCCTTGGGGGCGTCTTGGGCCGTCCTGGGGCGTTTTGGGGCCCTCCATGGGAGGCCCGGGTGCGCGGTACCGGGAGTTACCCCCAGATGTCACGGACGGAGGTAGGGGACGCTCCGGGTTAGGGGAGAGCGTACTTGTTTGTACTATACATGCACCACACGTGTTGCACCACGCACACCGCAGCAGATGGATTGCTACAGATTGCGCCGCGCAGCGTGCACAGCGACAATTCGAGAGCCCACCGTTGGGGCTCCACGCTGGTGGGCCTCTTCCCAACAGGGGCTCCCCGGAGGTCCCGACCCCGTTCGGAGGACATCAGCTAACTATACGCTTACACCGATCCTGCTGGGGTCGTTCCCGAGCCCAGGAGCGCTTCGCATGCCTTCCAGGCCGACCTACGCGGGACGACGCACAAATCCTGGGCCTGGGGATCGGCCCCGGCGTGCAAAAATATGTTCTCCTGCCCGTGCCGGCGGCGCAAAGCCCCGACCTGGGGCGGCAGCGCCACGAGAGGTGGACCGAGGCGGCGCTCATGCAGAAACAAAAGGTGCCTGGGCCACCTGAGAGCATCGCGGCCCGCGATGCGCTCTTCTCTTCGCACCTAGAGCCACCTCGGCGAAGGGCAGCTCTCCAGTTCAGGTCGCGACGCGCCACACGCGATCATCCTCGCGCTCCTGGGGTGACCCACGACCTAGGATGCCGATACCGCTGGTCCATCGACCTCTTCACGAGCGCATTCTGATCAGCGTGCCGAAGCGAATCAAGCCACGGTTACGAAGGGCCCTAGGAGACGTCACAGGGTCAAGACGAAAGTAAGATATTTGCATGTCGGTGCGTTTTTCTCCTCTGATCGCTGGTGGTGCCTGCACCTCCCTGGTCGCGGCTCAGCCACGGTGTGCCGCGGAGGAAAAACATTAGAAGCGAAGCGCAAACGATAGCGGCCCACAAAATTTTCCAGAGCGGCGATTGGGTCGACTCCCGGAGCATCCGATCGGCCGAATCTGTGGCAGCAGTGCCAGGTCGTCGTCGTCGTCGTCGTCTTCGTCGTCGTCGTCGTCGGGCCTTCAGAGGCAACTGCGAGGGCCTTCGGAGGCCTTCAGGGGCATCCAGTGGCCTTCGGAGACCACTGTACAGGACGAGAACGATGTCATAACGCGACCGGCCCGGGAGACGCCATGAGAACTCCGGAGCATCTGGCGCACGGCACTTCTTTATCATGCCTTCTTGCTCTTCTAGTTGGTCCTCCAAGAGAGCTTCGCCAAGCCTTTTCAAGCCCTTGGGGCGCCCTGCTATCAGGGTTTCGGACTACACAAGTAAACTGTCCCGAGAGAGCTTTTCCCAATTCTCGGATAGCTCCTTGGAGAGCTAAGAGGGTTTTAGATTGAGAAGCCGGAGCCGCAGGGTAGCCCTGGAGCTCGTTCTGGCGGCGGGCAGGCATCCTCGGAGAAACTTGTCTGACCCTCCAGCGTGTTCTGGCAGGCCTTTTCCAAGCGTTTCCCAACACGCGTGCCGAGGAACTCTCCAGAAGGTCCTTCGGAAGCTCTCTCCAGGTCCTTCCGCCGTCGTCAGCGGCGCTGCCGCCACCCACGGAGCGCCCGATCTTGACGGAGGCTGTGGCGGCGGCGTGCCGGGGTCGGAGTTGTTGAGGGTGTCTGTGAAGTGGTTCAGCAGCCGCAGCAGCAGCGCCTTCTCCTTCGCAAGGACCTCGGGCGGGACAGGGGCCACAGGTTCTGGGATTCTAGATTTGGGGAACAGAAAGACATACTAGCACTGCCCTGACCTTCCAGAGAGCTATTTTTTTTAGCACTGGAGGCCTAACAACCTAAAACGCTGAGCGAAACAACCTAAAACCAAGACGTAGAATAGCTCTGGGATAGGTTCTTAAGTCGGGTGCCATTTTTTAGCCCTCCTGGAAGGTCAGGGTGTGCGTCCCCCTTGGAGGTGCACGTCCGAACTGAACAACCGGTACAAACATCTTGTAGCAGAATGTCGGTTCCTGGGCAGCGTGGCCAGAAAAAGCGTTCGCCACCGAGCTGTTCTACAAGACTTCTGAGCGCGCGCGATGCGCTCCTGCGGGCCCGGCGCAGACATGGTATACCCACGTCTGGGTGATGCCGATCGGCTGGCCGCGCGCGCACCCCGAAAGGACGCCAGGGCCAGGCAGAGAGGAGAACACTGGGACGAAGCCAGGACGAGGACACATTCGGGGGAGGATGCAGCGAGAAGCTCTGAGATCCCGCGGCTCTGGATGACGTCCTTGGCGCCGCGGCCTCTCCAGAGCGCTCCAAAACGAGCGCTCTGGAACGCTCTGGATGAAGGGGCCCTGGGAACACAAATAAATACACACAAATAAAAAGACTCCCCATATTTTCATTTTTTTCTGGTTTTTTGTCCTCCCCCCCCACTTCCCATATTTTGCAATATTTTCTTGGGATCGACGATTAATTGTGTCTGTGTGTTTTTTCCTCCTGAAGAACGAGCGTTCTGGAACGCTCTGGAACGGACCCGTCCTCGTCCCAAGCCGAAGGCGGAGTCGGCTGTGAAACGTTGGAGAAGGAGACTGTGAAGAGGAAGGGCCCGTGGCCGCGAGCGCCCGTCCAGGGACCGACGAACTTCGCGAGGTCGAGTTGTGCGCGAGAAGACCGAAGCGCTATGCGGTCTGCCAATGGGTCGCCTGCCTTCGAAGAGGAGAGATGAGGAGGAGGCAGATTGCGGCATAGCCGTGGAGGGGGGGGGCTCGGCGCATAGTCGGGTCTGCCTGGAGAGGACACGCGAGAGGGCACAAGACCTCTCCGAGGGCCACGCTGCCCAAGGAATGCAGAGGGCGTGGGGCGCGAAACGCAGGACACGGGGGCGCCCTTGATCTGGAAGGGCCGACCAGGTGATCAAACTCGACTGCAGTAGGAGCAAGAGGAGGGTGCTGATGGGGCATCGGGGGAACAGGAGGGGAGGAGAGAAAAGACGGATGGCTATAGCAGGGGGGACAAAGGTCCTGGGAAGAGCGAGTGTGTTACCATGAGCTGGGAGGGGTCCTGGCAAACAAGGATCCTGAACCTGGGGCACCCCCCGAGACCCGTCTTTTGCCACGAATCGTTTCCTGACTGCCCCAAGGCCTGGTAAGGACCCCGAGAAGCGGAAAATGATGAAAGCAATTCACGGCTCCATTCCCTCAGGACCCCGCTTCTTCGTGGCGAAAAATCGACGAAGAGAGAAGCCTACAGAGCGGAGATCTCCCTCCCAGGAACCACTCAGGACCCCTCTCCAGTTCGACCCGATCCTATGTAACAGTCCGACCAGTCCAGCATACAATCACGGTTCGAACGCAAACTAATGAACAAAACGCCATGTCATGACTGCCATCCAATGGCTACAGAAACGCGTCATGACTGCAACGCAAGCACGGAATAACCCATAGTGCCAAATACCTGGGGAAAACTCGATTGACAACGCACCCAATACAAAGTGCATGCAAAGGTCATGCACTCCCCAGAAGTCCCCAAGTGGCAGGGGCCCTCAAGAAGCCCCGAAAAATCCCCCAGATGCCCCGAAGAACCCTGCAATAGGCTCGACCTGGGGGTTCGGCAAGCGTCAGCCTCCTTTGGAGTTTTGCTTCAGCATGCACCTTTCGCCACCGTTGTTGCACGAGCTCCGGGACCTCTTCTTTTTTCGACGGCTCGGAGCCCAATGTTGCCCCACAGAACGATGCCCAAACAGGCCCGCCTGCTTTCAGTGCAAGGCAAAGCGGGGCTGCGGCCCCACGCGGGCATGCGCGGACTTGGGTCGTCCAGAGGCCTGCCGGACCAGACGGGCCCGCCTGCGCTCCTTTTGGGACCCTTTTCGGGGCCCTCTCGGGCTCTCGCTGGCCTCTTTCTCGGCTGTCTTCAGACCGTCTTGGGCCGATTTGGGGCGGGTCCACGCGCCGGCGGGGGGGGGTACTTCGCCCAGCGGAGTACGCGCAGCGCAGTGGCCATCTTCGATGCACCCGACGCAGCGTCTTGAAACATACGGAGCATTGTCCACGCATGGTGCCAGAAGGGACAAAGAAGGGAGGGAGGGAATATAATGGAGGGGAACAGATGAAGCAAGAACGGCACGAACATGCACTTTCGAAGTTCTGCGCGGAAATCTTGAATCGGCGCTGGACCCCCGCGGGTTTGTGACTTGACGACTTGTGCGCTGGTTTCTGACACCGCTTGGATCGTTTAACCTTGAAGGATCGGCGGCTTTTCGATAGCGGCGCGCGTTCAGCATCGGCAGATACCAGGCCACCGGCGGCGTTCAACCTTGAGCGCCCGCGTTGGGATCGCCGCCGCGTCGGCGCGACGCGGACCTGCCGTAGAGAAAGGAAGCGCAACATGATCCTCCAACCTTTCGGAGAGCTGCGCGGATTTCTTAGATCGGCGTTGGAGGCGCCGCCAGGGGGGTCGGGTGCCGATTCAATAAATCTGCGCGGGCCTCCGAAAGTTTACGTGAATGCTTCTGATTCTTCTCCGTGGGAGGGGGATGGAGGATGCGCAGGGACACGTCTGCCGCCGCGTTGGGGGAACCCCGCCGCGGAAGGCCCACGACAAGCTGGCCGCCAGATGGAGGGGCACGAAAAGAACAGGGACGTTGGCCCTCGGTTGTGGCCCAGTGCGGCTTGGCAGCGAAGGGTCGGGTCGGACCCCCTCGGTCGGAGGACGGGGAGGGAGGACGGCTACGCCTGCGGGCACCACGGTCTCTGAGTCTGTGTGAGCATCCTGCAGCAGCGCGCAGAGCTGCCCTATGACGGCCCGGCAGCTTCTGCCCAAGCGGCCCAGCACGGCTGCCAGAGGGAGGGTGCCGGAGGTGACCAGCGGACTGCAGGTATAGAGGCCTCTCAGATGGGGTCCGAGTAGATAGATCGCGCCGCATCGCCATGCATCGTCGACGTCGACGCGAAGCACAACGGGATCCACTCCGCATCGCAGATGCATTGGCGATGCGGCGCGATCCTCCGACCCCATGTGGGAGGCCTAGAAGGAAGAGGGGGCGCTATGAAGCCAGGAAAACTGCTGCAAAAGAAAAAGAGAAATTCCCCTTCCGAGGGATAACAAACAGCAAGCTCGTGGTGAACAGGATGGGGGCCCTCGGCTTGGCGAGGGGGCGCGTGCGCGGCGCTGTTTGCTTCTCGGCAGAGGGGCCCCTAGGAGGCCCGACCCTCGGCTCAGGCCAGGCCGAAGCCCTCTGCGCACTCTATCGCGGCCACGAGCTTAGATCTCAGCTTCTCCTCTAGAGGGACAAGAAGCTGCCCGAATCTGCTGAATAAGGACACCGAAGTGGCTGTTCTGGCCATGGGGAGCCTCGGCTACGAGCAGGCTCCGCGACCTAACTCAAGCAAAAGGCCCGAAAGCCAGAGCCCCTCCCGAGCCCAAAGTGGTCCTTACAGCGTCCTAACGGTATGATAGGAGTGCTTTTGGACCCATCTTGGAATCCGATTGGAGCTTCTACGGGGGGCCCCTGCTCAGACTATGGAGAGTGGGGGAACAAGACGGGCGGCGGGGCAGTGACAGAATTCCACCGAAAGCGAAAACGGAATGGGGGTACTTGCCTCTCGCGGTTACACTTTCTGACGTCAGCGCAGATTTCTTGGGTCGGCGCTGGACATCCCTGGCGGCGCCTCTGGCGCCGCCCACAGTGCGATCCGCCCGCCAGGGAGGGGGGCCCAGCGCCGCAATCCAAGGAATCCACGCAAACCTTCCAAATTTACCCTACCCCTGACAGTCAGATTTCCGACAATCCGGCTGGGGATCAGCATTCGAAGGACGTCTGCAGCCAAGTGACCCCAGCGGGGTTGTCCAATACCCCAGCGTGGGTTGCACCCGGAGGGGCAGGGTTCGCAAGCGGTCACAGATTCAGTTTGCACATCTTTTCCTTCTTCGATCCTTACAACCGTACTCAGGGAGTGTCAGCAGGTTGAAGCAGGTGTGCGAGGTGGGCAGGTCATCAATGTCGCCGCCGTTCCTCTGGATCTTGAGCCCGATGCGCTCCAGCCCCCCGATCGGGGCAAGGTCGCTGCCGGTGACGAACCTTAAAAACTGGCGTTTCTGCGTCGGTTCCAACGACTCCAGGATCTCCCAGAACTCGTCCAGGTAGCCGTCGCAGAACTGCACCACGGTGTCCACGACGTGAGAGCCCCTCCGCAGCGCAGCGAAGTCCAGGTCGCCCTCCCCGCAGACGATCGCCTCCAGCTCCGCCGCCGACAGCGCGTCGAACACTGGCGAGGAGCTGCAGACGCGCCCGAAGCCCAGCTGGAAGGCCTGGAACTGGGCCTTGATCCCCTCGCAGAGGTGCCAGTCCTTGAAGAGCTCCGCGAACTCCGCCCGGCGGCCGAGTGTGACGGGCGGCGGGTCCGTTGCCTCGCCCAGCAGGCTGACGGTGCGCGTCTCGCCGAGCGCCTGGAAGCTGACCGAGAAGTCTATGCTGAAGGTGTCCTCAGAAGCAGCAGGCACTGCGTCGGCATGCGCTCTCGGAGCTCCGCGCGGGTTTCTGGAGTCGGCGCTGGACCCCCCCTTCCCTGTCGGTGATCCTCCGAAGGTGTGTCAGGGCCAGAGGATGATTGCCCACCGAAGCCCTTGAAGTGCGACGAAGGGCGCAGGCAGCGCGACGAGGGCCACGCAGGACGCAGGCGGCGGCGCAACGAGGGCCGGTGCAGGCTGCGCGCTGTATCCGCGGAGCTCACGCGGGCAAACACGCGCGGGGGCGAACACGCGTCCGGAGGATCTCTGACCCTGGCGCGCGCCAGGGGCGGCGCTGGCGTTGCCGCCACGGGGGGCCTGGCGCCGTTCCAGCAAGTCCGCGCGGACCTCCGAAGGTGGATGCTCATGCCGTCCCTTCTCCCTCGGGTCCTGGAACAGTTGATCGGCCTCGCCGTCGGAGAGACCAGGGGGAGGGGCCCAGCTCAGCACCCCGTTCAGGGAGGCCGCGTGTGCTGGGAACACCTGCTGGAAATCCTCGAACGTGAGCGGGTCATTCTTCAACTTCTTGAACATCGCTGCCGGGAAATTCACGTTGAAACCGGGCAGGTTGTTGTATACGGCCAAGCCCAACACTTCCCCAACCATCCTGAACTCTGCGGGTTCGTTCAAGGAAGCGGGCTCAAACCAGAGGTACCTCGAGTCAGGATCCGCCCGGAACATCCCGAAATCGGGTGTGAAGAGCTGCTCCGACAGCAGCCTGAAGTATTCCTTCGTTACGCCGCCCTCGTCCACCCCCTCCTCGTTGGCAAACTTTACCTTGAGAGGCTTCCTCAGGTGGCGTGGGTCCGCGCTCTGAAGTTGCCGGATGGTGTCCTCGAGGAGGTGGCTGCGCCGCACCTCGATCATGAAGAAGACCGTTGATGCGGGCACGACTCCTCCAATCCATATTCCACCCAGACCTCCATTAGTGATCTCGTCAGCAACATTGCGACGCACCTCCTGCTGCTGCTTCGCGACGTTCTCTGCCTGCAGCACCCGCTGCTTGTAGCTCGTGGGCACGAGGTTGCCGTTCGCCATGAAGGAGCGGAACTCGGGCGGCAGCTGGCCGTCCCTGATTTCCCACTGCTTGTCGGTGCACAGCCGTTCGGGATCGATCACCTGCATCTTGGCCCCGTCCACGAACAAGCCCAGCTCCACCTGGGGGGACGACTACTCCCCAGGCCTCTCCCCACGTGTGCTCTGACCGGAACTCCGAGGGTCATCCAGCCGTGGCGACGCCTCCTCGGAGGCCCGAAAAAAGGCGAAGACGAGGCGAGGGGAGCGGCATCGGCACCTCTTCCTCCTCGGGCCACCTGCGGCGGGAAGTCGAACTCCACGAGCGCCTGGATCTGGAAGCTCTCCCGCGGCAGCGGCGCCCCGGCCAGCAGCGCCCCGCCCACGACGGGCGCGCCCCCCGACTAGGTGGCGACATCCGAACCCTACCCCCGCCAACCATCGGTTCCCCTGAATTGATGGGAGGCGCGGGTGGGGTTCGGAGTTCGCCCTGTGCGCTCGGCGACTCCCGAACCCTACCCCCGCCGCCCATCGAGCTGCCCGTATCCTTGATCGGCGAGGGTGGGGCGGATTTCAGCCGCCGACCGACGCCTCCGCGGTCTGCGCCCGGGAGAGGCTGCGGCCGATCTTGCTCACGGTCCGGGGCAGCTGGCTGTCCTCCGCGGCCTCCGCCGCGAGCGCGGCGCGAGCCGCCGCCGCCACGCTCCCCGCCCTCCTCACCTCGGAGGAGGGCCAGCTGAGGCAACGGCAGTTGCTGGCCTTCGGGGGCCCCCTCGTCGCCACGGCTGGACGCAGCTCGGAAGACTGGCGCGTTCGGACCGGGGGATGGCTGCGGGGACCGATCTCGAGCTGCCGCTGTCTCGGCTCCCCCTGCTCTGATCACCTCCGAGGCCCAGAGCAGCTGCAGCAGCAGCACGGACTCCCACAGCGGCGGCAGTAGCCGCTGGCTCTCCTTGCTAGGTCGCTTACCTTCGCGCATCGCGCCCCGCGATGCGCGACGCGCGACTTCGCGCCCCTGCGCTCTCGGGTCGCCCCTCCTAGAGAAGGGCGCCACTCCGGCCCAAACCGCGATGCGCGAAGCCCGGTAAAATACGCGCCTCTTCTGGCCATCGCTCGGACGTCCATTCCCTGTGTTTCTTTCGGTTTCGTGCGTGGTTTTTTCGCCAAATGATCAAGGATGCTCCTCGATGGTCCTCGCCGAAGGAAAAATGCACACGTCCGAGCGATGCCAAGTCTTTGGGTGACCTAGCTCCTTGCACCGGCGCATCGCCGCTGCCGCGATCGCGTGGGCGGCCGGCAGCAGCGCGTCGCGCAGCACCGCCAGCTCGCCGCACTCGTCCGCCACGACGTCCCGGAACGCGGCGCGCCCGGCCGCGGGCAGCCTCGCCACCATGCGCAGCAGCTCGGTGGCAGTCTCCAGGGCGTTCGTATACGAGGCCCCAGCGGCCGCCTTGCCGTCGAGGAGCGAGCGCCAGTCCACGACCAACAAATAGATGACCAGCGCCCTCACCTGAGTGACGAAAAGGAAACGGTCTTACAAGAGATGGCATGGGGACCTTACGCAGCGGCTCACGCAGGCCGCCAGCGCGGAACGCTACATTGGAAATGAGGGCGCTTAAGCGCGGCCTTACGCGAATCGACCCCGTTTGCTTCAGTCGCTCACCTGGTCGCGGGTTCGCATGTTCTTGAGCAGGCCGTCCTTCGGGGCGAGCGCCTGCAAGCCGTGGCGACAAGCGTCTAGCCAACCCTCCTGCACTGACGGGCCGCGCCGGCGCACCTCAGTGAGCTGGGCCCAGAGCTCCCCAGCGTTCAGCTTGGCCTCGCTGATGGCGGGGCAGAGAAAGCAGGAGCCGAGCACCGCAGGACGCCTCAGCGCCGCCTCGACGGTCTCCCGCAGCCGCGCGCCCGCGGCCAACCCCTCGGCGGCTGCCGCGGCGGGAATGGCGTGCACGAGGTCCTGCAGGGCCTCCACCGAGAGGCACGCAAAGTTCACCCCGGACGCCACGCCGACCTGCACAACCTTCAGCGACAACACCACGCCGTCCCTGCTCGGCACCCCCTGCGCCGCCTCGCCGCGCTTGAGCGCCGGTGCCGCGCCCGGCGGCTGGCGCGAGAGGGGTACCTCGAGAGTGTGGCTTCGCCCCACGCGGCTGATGTAGCCTGTGGACCGCAGCTTCCTCAGTGGTTCCGCGCCCGCCACCACGTGGTCCTCCTCCTCGCAGAGGCCGCCCGTGCCACAGTGACGCTGCGCCTTCGTCCTGGGCAGCGGCGAATCCTGCTCGCTGTCGTCTGCGCTGGTCTCCGCATCCAGGCCCCCAATGTCTGCGCCAGGGGGGCCAGCGCAGTGCATGGCCGCGCGCTGCAGGACGGAGGGCTGTCGCGACATCGACTCAGGGGGCTCCGAGGCCAGAACTGCTGCGTGACCAGGCCCCGCTGCCACGGCCCATATGATTAGCTCGTCATCGGGGAAGATCACCCTCTGCGGCGAGTCGACGTAATCGCCCGAAGCGAGCCCCAGCTGGCGGCGGTCGTTAGCGCCCACCGCGAACAGCTCGCCCTCGAGTGAGAGCAGCAGCGTGTAGTCGAGTCCGCACGACACCGTGCGAACCTTAAAAGAGCACTCGCCGAACCGCATCCTCTGGAAGAAGCTCGAGCACTGCACCTCGGCCACGGGGAGCCCCAATTGCCCCTTGCGGTTGTCCCCCGCCAACAGCGGCACCCCCCCACGCAACACGACCGCGCTGTGCTGTCCGCCTGCCGCGATGCGTCGGACCTCGCCGTTGAGCCCGCCCACCAGCGTGGGCAGGGGCACCTGCTCGGACGCCTCGAACTCGGGACCGAGCCCGAGACGGCCGTGGCGGTTGTCGCCCCAGCAGAGCACCTGCCCGCTGAGGCCCATGGCCATCGAGTGCTGGGCGCCGGCTGCCACCTGCCGCACCGGCAAGCCGCGCAGACCCCCAGCGTCCACGTGCGTGGGCGCGTGCTGGACCCTGGAGCCGCCCGCCAAGGCCGCCGCCGCCAAGCCCAGCTGCCCCTTCGAGCCGTCGCCCCAGCAGAACACCTCGCCGCACTCCGTGAGGGCGACGGTGTGGTCCTGCCCGCAGCTCACCGCGCACACGCGCACCCCGCCGGGCTGCACTGGGAAGCTCGCGGGCCTGCAGGGCCCGACGCCCGCCCTTGCAGAGCCCTGCCCCGCCTGCCCGAACTCGTTGGAGGAGCTCCACGACATCAGCAGCTCTCCGCCGCGCCGGATGGCCACGAAGTGTTCCCTTCCAGCGTCAAGAGCAGCCACGGGCGCGTCCTCCGCTCCCGCGAGGTCCAGGGCGCGCAGGCCAAAAGTGCGGTCCATGTCCTCCTCTTCGGAGATGCACTGGCCTTTGTTCGAGCCGCCCGCCCAGAGGCTGCCCCTGCCAGAGGCCAGCAAGGTCTGCTCCCAGCCCGCGCACAGCTGCCCGAAATCGCTGCGGCCGTCAGGCAACCTCACCTCTGTGGGCTGTGACACTACCGACTCGAGGCTGGACCGGGCGCCGCCCAAGCACTGCCCGCAGCCGTCGTCCCCCCAAGTGAAGACGCGTGTGGGGGTTGCCCGCACATCGGGCGCACTCGCGTGGAGACTTGTCCTGGACCTCCGCAGCTGCCGCAGCTGCATGCCAGCTGTGACGGAGTCGTAGGAGCGGCCCAGAACTGCTCCTTCTGGCCGAGAAAACTTGAGCCAAACCGGCTGTGGATCGTGCGTGTGGGGAAGCAGAGAGGGGGAACCAAAGAGTGAGAGAAAGAAGACGTAAAGCCCCAAAGAGGCTCCACGTGAGTCGGAAAGAAACTGGTGAGATGAGAAGATAAGAGTGAAACCGCGGGGACACTTAAAAGCCGTAGAGCGGGATACCAACTGCTCGCCGTCACCACCCTCAACAAAAACATCAATTCCACAATACTCGCACGCTCCGCATTGATGGGACGACTTCTGGACGAACATCGACTGCCTGGCGGACGTGGTCAACATCCGGCACCGTTCCGCTGACACGCAGTAGAAAACACTCAGGTCCGTGATGGCTCTTAGCCAGTTTGAGGGGGCCGAACGGTCTTACACAATCCCTGGATGCGTGGCCGTCATGAACTTCCGCGGCGGGGATTGTCGTTCATGTTGTTGTCGTCGTCGCCCCGCGACCCGCCCCAGAACCCACCCGCGGCCCACAATCCCCCCGACCCACCCGCGCCTCTACCCAACCGCGGCCCACCCGCGCGCATCGCGACCCACCCGTGCATCGCGACCCACCCGCGCCCCGCGACCCGCCCGCGCCGCGACCCACCCGCAGTACACCTACATTCCCTACACAACACGCCTGTGAGAGTTCTACACAATTCTTCGAAAGCCCGGTGAAGGATTCTGGGCCACCGAGATCGGTAGCCCGTCGTGGCCCACCAGCGTTGGCTCCTGGTTGTGGCCACCCATCGTGAACTGTGAGAAGCTGTCTAGGGCATTCTGCCATAAGGGTGCCATCGAGTTTCTAAGAGGCCTCCTAAAGATGGTCCGAGCAGGTGGGGTCGCAGGATTGCACCGCATGGCCAATATATGGTCCAGGGCTTGGGCCCCCCCCCCCGCAATGCTGATGCCATTGGGCCCCTCCCCCCCGCGCGATGGTCCCCCCCGCCCCCCCCCTGTGGGCGTGGCGTGGTGCTGCGCTGCGGTGCCCCCCCCCCTGCGGATGTGGTGTGGTGCTGTGGTGGTTCAGAAGTGGGCGTGGCGTGGTGCTGCGCTGCGGTGCCCCCCTCCCCCCCCCTGTGGATGTGGTGTGGTGCTGTGGTGGTTCAGAGGTCGTCGTCGTCGTCCTCGTCGTCCTCGTCGTCGTCGTCGTCGTCGTCATCGTCGTCGTCGTCGTCGTCATCGTCGTCGTCGTCGTCGTCGTCGCCGTCGTCACCGTCGTCATCGTCGTCGTCGCCGCCGCCGCCGGCGTCGTCGCCGCCGCAGCCGTCGTCGTCGTCGTCGTGGTCGTCGTCGTCGCCGTCGCCGTCGTCGCAGTCGTCGCCGTCGTCGTCGTCGCCGTCGTCGTCGTCGTCGTCGTCGTCGTCGTCTCTGGGACCATACCATCTGGGGGGGGGGACCGAGGAATCCTGGGACCATATCATCTGGGGGGGGGGCCCGTGAACCCTCGACCCTGGATCATATATCGCCGATGCATCGGCCATGAATCGACGATGCATCGGCGACGTCTGCGTGGAGAAAATCGGGATCCACACCGAGCCGCATCGCCTCGCCCCATCTATTCCGATCCCATCAAGGAGTCCTAGAATTCTCGTGCGCCCGCGGCTTGCCGTGCCGCGTTCACTTTGGAAGAGGACGCCACTGCGCGTCCCCGCCCGCACATCCCGCCACCCATCCGCATTGTCCTGAGCAGCCAAGACGGCGCCTTCGGCGGGCTCGTTCTGCAATCTGTTAAAGAACCAGCGCCTGCGGCGGTCTTCTCCGAATTTGCCTTAGAAACTCGCAAGCTGCCGACGCCCCCCCCCCTCCCTGCCTCGCCGTCCGTCTTATCGCAACTACGGGGGCTGTGGCATGCGGCCGTTGCCAGATCGGTTCTGTCAGCTGCGCATTTTTCTTATCTCGACGATCAGTTTGTCATTGCTCGGAGCTGGGAAGATCTGAGCGAGATTTTGAACGTCACTGTGCTTTTGGACAAATCAATTGGATCTCCACTACATCTTGGAAAGTGTGCTCGAAGAACGGTTGGTCGACCCCGACGGCGCCATGCTTACTACGCCGATGCTCTCATGAAGAGGGTGCCGCTCACGAAGTCCTTCCGCTACTTGGGCATCGACCTCATCATGGGCTCGAGCGCTCCAGCGCCAGTGGTGGCGAAGAGAGTGGCTTCTTTCAAAACGGAGTGTAGTGTCATGATGATTCTCCCGCATGCGCAACGCGGCGCTGGGGTCGCAGACGCTGTTTCGGCCATGTGGGCCGGCGGCGGCTTCGCTGCACCAAGCAGGAATTCGACGCGGTCGTCCGCACGGCGGCGCAGACGCTGATGGGCACAGCGAGACTGGGCAACACAGTCCGGCGCTCTAGGGCGACCACGCACCTTCTGGGTCCAGGCCTACACATCACCCATTTTCCATGCGTGGTGGGGTACACGCCAGTGAGGATTTACACCAAGATGCTGCTCGAAGGTCTTCTTCAACATCATGATTGGCAAAATCTGTGGCGTCGCCGGGCCACGCTCGGGTTTGGTCCATCATTGGCATCCGTGGATCGCGCGTGCGAGGCCCTCGGCATAGGCTGGACGGGGCCCACAACCTTAAATTACAACAGTCGTGCCTTTTGAATTCGCATTCGTCATGATGTTCTTGCTCACGCTGGTCGCGGAGGTACTCGCCGGTTCTGGGGCGCCGCCCAAGTTACCCAGCGGCTTCATGATCTCCGTGTTCTGCTACGCCATGCTGTTGCTGGACAGAGGGCTGCTCATCGCCCCTGGGACTTTGGTGGTCTCGAGCGCGGCCTGTCTGAGGAGAGGCCGGCGCACGAGCAGATGTACTGAGCGCAGCTCCACTACGGAGGCCCGCTCTTAGCACAGGGCGATTGTGGACACCCTTTGACATTTGGAGGATCCCTTTCAATCATAACGATTCTAAATGTTCACGCTGCGGCCAGGAGGTGGAATCTGCTTCACATCGACTCTGACACTGTACCTACAATGTTGCAGGGCATCGAACCGGCTGCCTGCCGCGGCGTGCCGGCGGTGAAGCGCGGTGACAAATTTCTTCGTATCTGCAGAAAGTAAACGCCATCACCACGCAAGCGTTGGTGGATCGCCGCAGCCGGAAGCCAGTGGTACTTGATCGGGCTCAGACCTCAACCCGCACGGCGTGCTCGACGCGAACCTTTTCTTCCTGCTCAACCAGCCTTTCCTGCTTTTCAGCGCCCTGCCATTGTCGTGTCGTGCGACGGCTCCTCCAAGAGCGTGGACGGCGAAGAGGCTCCAAGCTGGGGTTTCGCTTTATCCTTGTCCGGTACGGCTTCGCCGCTGCAATTCTGAAGCCGACCATCCTTGCTGAATCCGACCCTTGTTGTAATGATGCGCGACGGCGTACAAACAATGTTGGTGAGCTGAGCGCCGGCTTTTACGCTGCCCTTCATACGCGATCGCTTCCTCATCGTCTTCTGCATGGTCCTGTATCGATTTTGGCTCGGAGTACGCAGCCAACAGAGCACGCAAGCTTCAGAGAGCACGCCAGAATGTCAGGCTAGCCCTGCATGTTCGATGAGCTTGGTCCATGCGTTGGACGGCGGAAAGTGGAATCTCACACGGGGCTTTTTCTAAAGGACCGGGCTGATGAACTCGCGGATTGTGGTGCGAGGTAGCTTAAGCTTAGCAAGCTGATTATAAAGAGCGAGCCAGGCAGCCCCTGATTGTATTCACGCACGCATTCGTGAACCATGGATTTCTTGAGAACCGCTCAGTGCACGCATATCAGAACCATGCGAATGACTACCATTATTGGGCTGCGGTCCCCCAAGAAGCAGGGGTCCTCCATTTCCGCGCTCTATCTGGGGTCCACAACGATTGCAATAAGCCCGGGGGCCCAGAGAAATGGTTCGAAATCTGAACCGGATCACGACGTAAGAACGCTGAACATGTACACTTCGCATGGCTCGCTGCTTTGGCCGGGGGGGGAACCCAGCGTTCCAGGTCGGTTGGTATGCTTCTGCGAGGTGCCGCACACTTGCTTCGTTCGTGCGAGCGGCCAGCATTCCGAAGCGCTGGGCGCTGTTTGTAAAGGTGGAGGGCGAACGAAGTTGGCACGTGCCTGCGAGGGGAAGCGAGCCTGCGTACCCATCGGTCGGAAGAAGTGGGCAGAAACGTATGATGTAGATTGGATCTCCGCCCGCCCACTGAAGACGAATGAAGCGGAACAACTACACAATCCTTGAAATTCGCCGGCCCAACGGGCCAAAGACGTGCTAAGATCTCTAGCAATAGATTTAGAACACTTCTAATTCGCGCGTGCGCGGGGTCGCCCCTGGGGGTCCCCGGACGAAAAGTATACGGGCAAAGTGGGCTCAAGGATGCAAGAATTCCATGGGGCGGTCTCCCAGATTTCAAGAGGCCCCCAAGACGGTCCAAGAGGGCCCCGAATCGCTGAACGATCGGTCCAGAACGCCCGCGATGGCCTCCAATCGCTCGAAAAAAGCAAGAGGCCTCCGAGAGCTTTCCCAAGAGGGCCCTGGGAGCCCAAACCCATTCATGTTTCAAAACATGTTTTCAATGTTTTTGGAGTTCTCCACTTTTCGAGCTTCCGACGCTGCACGACGTCCCAAAAGGCCCCCAAGACCGCTCCAAGACGGCCCCAGAGGCCCCTAAGAGGGCCCCAAGACGGCCCAAAAGGAGCCCAAGTCGGCCCAAGAGGGGCTCAAGAGGGGGAACACAAGAGGGGGACACAGAGGAGGCCCCAAGAGGCCCCATAAAGGCCCCAAGATGCCCCCAAGAGGCTCCTACGAGGCCCCAAGAGGCCCCCAAGAGGCCCGAAAGAAACCCCAGAACAGCCCCCCAAAGGCTTCAGAAGTGCCTCCCGGAGGCCCAGGCCCCCGACAGGCCTCGACGAGATCCCGACGAATATCTAAGAGGCCTCAGACCCACCACCTAGGCACGGCGGCGG